GAGAGAATCCCAAGCAGGTTCCACACTGTCAGCCCAGAGCCCGACGTGGGGCCCGAACCCAGGAACCGTGAGGTCACGATCTGAGCCGAAATCAAGAATCAGACTATTAACCGACAGAGCCCCCCCACCAGGCACCCCACGTTCCCACCATTTTCATCACCCAAAGGGAAACCCCATAGCCGATGGCTATCCCCCCGCCCGCCGCCTCCCCCAGCCCCTGGCAGCCAGCAGTCTGCCTTCGTCCGTCTCTCTGGATCTGTGTATTCTGGACATTTCCTATAAATGGAATCATCGACTCTGGGACCTTTTGTGTCTGGCTTCTGGCTAATTACGTTTGGCGTGGAAAGTTCAGTGTTTCCTGAATGGAAGCTGCGTTTCCCTTCCTGGCTCACGTGGGGGCCGCTTGAAGGTGGGGGTGGTTCTGTTCAGACAGCTCGTCTAAAACGTTCACCTAGAACTCTAAACACCTGCCTTCCTCTCCGCATCCGTTGCCGCCCAAGACCCAGCCACCGCCCTCCTGCTCCCAGCCATCCTTTTCATTGTGTTAAATTTTTCCAGCGATCTTTTAATTTTTTTTAATGTTTATTTATTTTTGAGACAGAGAGAGACAGAGCATGAACGGGGGAGGGTCAGAGAGAGAGGGAGACACAGAATCGGAAGCAGGCTCCAGGCTCTGAGCCATCAGCCCAGAGCCCGACGCGGGGCTCGAACTCACGGACCGCGAGATCGTGACCTGAGCCGAAGTCGGACGCCTAACCCACTGAGCCACCCAGGTGCCCCATCCAGTGATCTTTTTAAAACGAACACCCGACGACGCCCACTCCCTTCTCAAAGCCCGTCAACAGGGACATTGCTCTTAGGGAAAATTCCCCAGACCCGTGATGTGGCCTTCAGGGCATGACCTGGCCTCAAGCTCACTTTGTGCAGCCATCCCCCACCTCGCTCAGCGATGCCACATGTGTCCCCACGCGGACCGGCTCTGGGGCTGGGGGGCCAGTATCTCACAGAGCTTTTTCTCCCCCACCCCCCCAGGCCACCTGGGGCTGGTGGCTGTTTCCAGAATGGATCACTGACAATATAATTTGGTGCCACTTTCAAATCCTGCCGGCCCGTCTGCCACCAGAGACGCAGCTCTCGTGAGTCACGCTTTCTCCTTCCCTCCCAGTGGTGGCTGAGACCTGACCATCGGGCCCCAAGGGGATGGCCTGTCTCTGTCTCGTTTGAGCTAGGACCCAGAGCTCTGGAGCAGGGATGCCCTGACGGGCGCACCGTTTGCTCTGTGGCCACCCTTGGCTGGGTCACCGGCACTCCAGCGGCGGGCCCTGGCTTGGGACAAGACCTGACCTGTCACCGCCTCGGGGAACGTTGGCTCTTCCGTCATTGGAGCCCCTGACAGCTTCTTCCCCGCCTTTTCCCTCCCAGCCTCCGGCCAGCATTTCGGGGAGGTCGTGTCCGCTCCTGTTCTGCTCGAAGTACGATCTTCCAGAAACGGTGTTAACCTTTATCAGATGGCTGCTGTGTGTCAGGCCTGAGGCCCCTGCTGCTATAGACCGAGTTCTAATTCTTCAAACAGCCCTAGGGATTAGGTATGACCTCCCCCTCAACAGAGGAGCAAAGTGAGCTTCAGAGATGTTTTCTAAGTTGCTGGAGGGGACACGGCTACGTGGGTGACATACAGCTGGCCCGTGTTCTTTCTGCTCTGGTGAACACGCTGACATCGTGTAGCACTTCCTGTCGCCAGGCGTGACGCTGGAGTCGTGCGAAGCGGCCCTAAGCCCTCAAGCATCTGTGACGGAGCAGGTAGAGATGACAGGTGACAGGCGTGTGCAGGAAACACTGGCCAACCTGCCGGGGGTGCTGGCTGGGCACAGAGAGCCTCGTGTGACTATGCAGGAGCACTGTTCTAGGCTG